ATAATTCCCGATATTAAATTTTTTAGTGAGGGCCGATATTATCGGACATCGCTACTTATTACTGATTCAGCTCTAATAAAAAATTTGTGATTGGGCAAATTGATGAGTTGTGCACACTTTCTGCTGTTCTGTTCAAAGACAAATAGCCCAATAACAAAAGTACAGTAAAGTTGCTCATTAGAGGCCTTTTTAATTTAAACTGTAAATACTCATACATGTCTTTTTCTTTGTCATGCAGGTTATTGGCCAGCTTCCGTGGGATTTGATGTCACCTTTAGATTGGTTCAACTGAAGATGGAAACACTGGAGTCTGAGCTGACCTGCCCGATCTGCCTGGAGTTGTTTGAAGATCCCCTGCTCTTGCCCTGCGCCCACAGCCTGTGCTTCAACTGTGCACACCGCATCCTGGTGTCTCACTGCTCCACCAGCAAGCCCCTTGAGTCCATCTCGGCCTTTCAGTGCCCCACCTGTCGTTACGTCATCACGCTGAATCACCGCGGCCTGGAGGGCCTTAAGCGCAATGTGACGCTGCAGAACATCATTGACCGCTTTCAAAAGGCCTCCCTTAGCGGCCCAAACTCCCCCACCGAGAGCCGGCGCCTGCAGCCGCAGCGGCCCTACACCGCCACCATTAGCGGTACAATAGCTGGAACAATTGGCGGCGGTGGTGGCACAAGTGGAAGCAGCGCCCGCGGCAGCCCGGCCACTTCCAGCCACTCCCACCCGCACGCCAACCACACCAATCACACCAACCACACCAACGCAAACCACAGCCCAGCTGTCGTTGCTAAAATGGATCCACGTATCAGCTGCCAGTTCTGCGAGCAGGATCCGCCTCGTGAGGCTGTCAAGACGTGTGTCACGTGTGAGGTATCGTACTGCGACCGATGCCTGCGTGCGACACACCCCAACAAGAAGCCGTTCACCAGCCACCGCCTGGTGGAGCCGGTACCGGACACTCACATCCGTGGGCTGACCTGCCTGGAGCACGAGAATGAGAAGGTCAACATGTACTGCTTGGTGGACGACCAGCTCATTTGTGCTCTCTGCAAGCTGGTTGGGCGCCACCGGGAGCACCAGGTGTCCTCACTCACTGAACGCTTTGATAAACTCAAGGTTAGTCCTCCAGTTTACAACGCATGCGATATGTTCACATCAGCAACAATGTAGGTGTACTGGTTTTATTTTATGTTGTTTGACTTCTGTGTTACTGAAGCAAGGTAAGTCACCATCTGGAAGATTTGATTGAAAAAGACATAATGATTTACTGTTGAGCTTTTAAGCTATTGCCATTCTCACAAAGAGTTGCTCATATTAGAGCTTGTAACTTTCATTATGATACCTTTGTTTGCAGTTTGCCAAAGAGCATTATCTTTAATCCATCCATTCCTACCTTGGGGATGTTCATTTTGTGCATTTATGTTGACTATGAACTTTCAGTACTGCCACAGTTGTATCATACACACTCACACCAGCCTTTGTTAAGTAAGGGGGACAGAATGACAGATCGAAAACAGAAAGAGTGAGAGAGAGAGACAATTGGGATGGTGTGCTGGTGAGAAGGGCAGAGAGAGACGGAGAGCAATAGGGAGGCTGTCATTATAATAGTCGATGAGCTGGCATTCCCTGTGGCTACTGAGCTTTCAGTGGCTCTGTCTAAAGTCTAGGACTGCTGAATCAGGGTGAAAAACAACAGAGAGAGGCACTAGCTTGAGCTAATTCCACCACTACAGACCTAAAGCAGCTGGCTGCATCTGGTGGCCTGAAATCTTTTACCATGAGTGTGTCTATCTTTTGTGTATTTATATACCTCTTATTGGACCCTTTTTACAAAAAACAAATGAAAATGAAACCACAGAATTTTGCAGTGAAACCGATTTAAGTTAAACAATATTGAACCATTAAGTTGGATCCGCATCGTATAGGAAGAGAACTGTGTTCACTTTTTTACCTCTTACTCATTGTTTACTGGCCTAAAGAAACCCAGTTATTACTGTACTGTGGTTTCTCTGCAAATTAGCATCCTTATTGCTACAATAAACCAATTAACAGAATATTTTTGTGTACCAGAGGTGTTTGCTGCACTGAAGAGTGCATGAGCAAAGTTAGTACACTGGGGGACAATATGATATTGATAATAGCATGAACCACTTCTTGGTTCTCTTTGTTTCCTGTAATGTCGTATAAATATGTGTCCACACAGACAGCAAAAGTAAAAGCAGTAGGATCTTAGTCTGTGCATGTCAATTATGTAAATTATCTACTTTTAAGTAAATCTCCTACTTGAAGACATGATCCTGTGTACTTTATACTGTAAATCTCCATCTAGATTAAGGAAATCCCATTGATGTTTCTGTCTCCTGGGTGTTGCCATTGTTTGATTGTGTCAAATGAATGGCATTGTGTAGCACACACAGAGACTACATTGGCTGTTTGATCTATAGAGAGGTGCATGTTTGCCAGTTGATTTCTATTTCTGTTTTGCAAAGAAAGCACATTTGTCATGTCATGACAGTGTGGGTGTAAGAATATGTTAGAATCATTTCAAGAGACATTGTTAACATTTCCTGTGCAACAAAAAATCATCTCATTTGGTCTCAAGGCGAACACAACAACGGCAGTGATGTTCTCAGCACCTAGAACAACACTTTCATTTCAGGATAATGCAGTCCCACATTCTTTTACATTATTGATGATTTGTGCTACCAGAACTTTCAACTGCTCAGCACCTCTCATCAACTTATGTTACTAGTATTTACCCTTCTTCACACCCTTTTTTCTGCCATTCACAGTCAGTCTACAGACTGTGGAAGAGTTTACTGTAAGTAGCTAGTTCTCCCCCCTCCTTTCCTCTGCACTTCATGGCTGACTGTGGTTCTTTTGAACGTTCCCCAGCCAAGGCTTTGAACTTTCTTGACTTTGAAATCCCCAATCTACCCCAAATCTGGGAGGAGACCAGCTCCAGTCCAAGCTCCAGCTCAGCTCACCAGTGGCAGTGGCAGTGGCAGCTAACTTATAATCTTCTTCTCACTCATGGCAAAGCAGAGCAGAGGAAGTCCTATTTGTGCATAGCTAATCATGGAAGATGTAGGTCAAAAAGTTGTGTGTGTGTTACTTATATTCATTGAAACACTCTTGGTTGAGCTTTTAATTATATATAACTAATGTTGATGTTGACTGGTCTGCAATGCCCCAGTCAACTCTTCTAATTGGCTATTCATCAATACCACTAACTAATTGTACTCAGTTGCCCCTGTGTGACCCCTGCCTCGCTCCATTTGATCTTTGACCTCTGGATTACCCTTCACATGATTTACTCTGTCTGCTGTGTATGCTGGGAGCTACTCTGTCACTGAAGGATTTTTTACACATTAAG